TTACCATTGGTCCTTGTATTACCATTGGGTCCTATTTTACCAATTGTGGCCTTATATTCAATTTCCCGGTTCCTTATATTACCATTGTGGTCCTTATTTAAACCATTGGGTCCTTAATTACCATGTGATCCTTATATTTACCTTGGTGGTCCATATATTACCTTTGTGGTCCTTGTATTACCATTTGGTCCTTGTATTCCCTTGTGGTCCTTGTATTACCATTGTGGTCCTGTATTTCCATTGTGGTCCTTTGTATTACCCATTGGGGTCCTTATTTTAAACCCTGGGCCTTACATACCATTGGGGTCCCTTAATACAATGTGGCCTTGTATTACCATTGTGGTCCTTGTATTACCATTGTGGTCCTTGTATTACCATTGTTTACCTTATATTAACCATTGGGTCCTTGATTCCCATGTGGTCCTTGTTTTACCATTGTGGTCCTTGTATACCATTGTGGTCCTTTATATTACCATTGTGGTCCTTATATTACCATTTGGGTCCTTATATTACCTTTGGTGGTCCTTGTATTACCTTTTGTTGGTCCCTTAATTACCATTGTGGTCCTTATATTACCATTGTGGTCCTTAATTCCTTTGTGCCCTTTATATTACCATTGTGTCCTTGTTTTAAACCCAATGGGGTCCTTGTATCCCCATTTGGTCCCTTGTATACCATTGTGGTCCTTTGTATTTCCATTGGGGTCCTTGTTTTACCAATGTGGTCCTGTAAAAAACCTTTGTGGTCCTTGTATGCCATGTGGTCCTTATATTACCATTGTGGTCCCTTAAATTACCATTGTGGTCCTTATATTCCCATTGTGGTCCTTATATTACCATGGCCCTTTATATTTCCCATGCGGCCCCTTGGTTTTACCATTGTGGTCCTTGTATTCCATGTGGCCTTGTTTTCCCAGTGGTCCTTGTATTACCATTGTGGCCTTGTATCCCAAATGTGGTCCTAATATTACCATTTGGTCCTTTATTACATTGTGGTCCTGTATTACCATTGTGCCCTGTATTACCATTGTGTCCTTGATTACCATTGTGGTCCTTATATTACCATTGGGGCCCTTATATTACCATGTGGTCCTTGTATTACCATTGGGTCCTAATAACCATTGTGTCCTTGTATTACCATTGTTCCATAAAAATTACCATTGGGGTCCTTGTATTACCAAATTGTGGTCCTGTATTACATAGTCCTTTGTATTACCATTGTGTTATTTTATACCATTGGGGTTTCCTGATTACCATTTTTGTCCTTATTTTAAACCATTGTGGTCCTTAATTCCCATTGTGGTCCCTTTTTATTACCATTGTGGTCCTTATATTCCAATGTCCTTAATATTACCTTGTGGCCCTTATATTACCATTGTGGTCCTTGTATTACCATTGGCCATATTACCATTGTGTCCTTATATTAACCATTTGTCCCTTGTAACCATTTGGGGCCCAATATTACCATTGGGCCTTGTATTACCAATTGTGGTCCTTATATTACCATTGTGGTCATTGTAATTACCATTGTGTCCTTGTATTACCATGTGGCCTTGTTACATTGTGGTTATTGTATTCCCATTGTGGTCCTTTTATTACCATTGTGGTCCTTATATTACCATTGTGGTCCTTGTATTACCATTGTGGTCCTTATATTACCATTGTGGTCCTTATATTACCATTGTGGTCCTTATATTACCATTGTGGTCCTTGTATTACCATTGTGGTCCTTGTATTACCATTGTTGTCCTTTGATTACCTTGTGGTATTGTATTAACCTTGGTCCCTGTTTACCAGTGGTCCTTAATTTAACCTTTGTGTCCCGTATTACCATTGTGGTCCCTTATTTTAACCATGTGCCCTTTAAATAATTAAAATTTGGGGTCCTTTATATTACCATGGGTCCTTGAAATACCATTGTGGCCGGGTTAACCATTGGGTCCTTGTATTACCATTGTGGTCCTTGAAATTCCTTTGGGGCCTTGTATTCCCATTGTGGTCCTTGTTTTTTCCTTGTGTCCTGATTTTATCATGTTGTCCCTTGTTTTTACCATGTGGTCCTTGTATTACCATTGTGGTCCTTGTATTACCATTGTGGTTTTGGGGTAACATTGTGGTCCTGTATTACCCATTGTGGTCCTTAATTACCATTGTGGTCCTGTATTTACCATTGTGGTCCTTAATTTTACCCATTGTGGTCCTTTATACCATTGTGGTCCTTGTATACCATTGGGCCTTGTTTTACCTTGTGTTATTGTATTACCAATTGGTCCTGTATTACCATGTGGTCCTTATATTACCATGTGGTCCTGTATTACCATGGGTCCTTGATTCCCTTGGGGTCCTTAATTTATGTGGCCCTTGTTTACTTTGTGTCCTTGTTTTACATTGTGGTCCTTGTATTACCATTGGGGCCCTTAAATTTTAACCATTGTGTCCTTGATTCCCTTTGGGGTCCTATATTACCATGGGTCCTTGTTATTACCATTGTGGCCTTATATTACCATTGGGTCCTTGTATTTACCAATTGTGGTCCTTGTTTTAAACCATGGGTCCTTGTATTACCATTTGTGGTTAATGTATTACCATGTGGTCCTTGTATTACCATTGTGGTCCTTATTTTACCATTGTGGTCCTTATATTACCATGTGGCCCCTTATATTACCATTTGGCTTATATTACCATTGTGGTCCTTGTATTACCTTTGTGGCCTTAATTATCATTGTGGTCCCTATATTCCATTGTGGCCCTTTATTACCATTGGCCCTTTGTATTAACCATTGTGGTCCTTGATTACCATGTGGTCCTTATATTACCATTGTGTCTTGTATTCCATTGGGTCCTTATATTACCATTGTGTCCTTAATATTCCCATGTGTTTCTTATATTACCTTTGTGGTCCTGTATTACCATTGGGTCCTTATATACCTTTTGTGGCCTTGATTACCATTGTGTACTTATAATTACCATTGTGTCCCTATATTACCATTGGGTCCTAAATTACCATTGTGGTCCTTGTATTACCTTTGGGGTGTCCTTAAATTTACCATTGTGGTCCTTGTATTACCATTGTGGTCCTTGTATTACCATTGTGGTTCTTGCATTACCATTGTGGTCCTTGTATTACCATTGTGGTCCTTGTACCACCATTGTGGTGCTTGTATTACCATTGTGGTGCTTGTATTACCATTGTGGTCCTTGTATTACCATTGTGGTCCTTGTATTACCATTGTGGTCCTTATATTACCATTGTGGTCCTTATATTACAATTCTGGTCCTTATATTACCATTGTGGTCCTTATGTTACCATTGTGGTCCTTATATTACCATTGTGATCCTTATATTACCATTGTGGTCCATATATTACCATTGTGGTCCTTGTATTACCATTGTGGCCTTGTATTACCTTTGTGGTCCTTGTATTACCATTGTGGTCCTTGTATTTCCATTGTGGTCCTTGTATTACCATTGTGGTCCTTATATTACCATTGTGGTCCTTACATTACCATTGTGGTCCTTATATTACAATTGTGGTCCTTGTATTACCATTGTGGTCCTTGTATTACCATTGTGGTCCTTTAAAACCATTTTATCTTAATACCATTGTGGTCCTTGATTCCCATTGTGGTCCTTGTTTTTACCATTGTGGCCTTGTATTCCCATTGGGGTCCTTATATTACCATTGGGGGTCCTTATATTACCTTTTATGGTCCTTATATTACCATTGGTGGTCCTTGTATTACCATTGGGGTCCTTATATTACCATTGTGGTCCTTATATACCATTGGGGTCCTTATTTACCTTTGGTCCTTATATTACCTTTGTGGTCCTTGTTTTACCATTGTGGCCCCTTGTATTACCATTGTGGTCCTTGTAATTACCATTGTGGCCCTTTGTATTTCCATGTGGCCTTGTATTACCATTGTGGTCCTTGTATTACCATTGTGGTCCTTGTATTACCATTGTGGTCCTTATATTACCATTGTGGTCCTTGTATTACCATTGTGGTCCTTATATTACCATTGTGGTCCTTATATTACCATTGTGGTCCTTATATTTCCATTGCGGTCCTTGTATTACCATTGTGGTCCTTGTATTTCCATTGTGGTCCTTGTATTACCATTGTGGTCCTTGTATTACCATTGTGGTCCTTGTATTACCATTGTGGTCCTTGTTATTACCATTGTGGTCCTGTTTACCATTGTGGTCCTTGTTATTACCATTGTGGTCCTTGTTATTACCATTGTGGTCCTTGTTATTACCATTGTGGTCCTTGTTATTACCATTGGGTTCTTGTATTACCATTGTGGCCGTATTACCTTTGTGGTCCTTTATATTACCATTGTGTCCTTGTATTACCTTTGTGGTCCTTGAATTACCATTGTGGTCCTTGTATTTCCTTTGTGGTCCTTATATTACCATTGTGGTCCTTGTATTACCATTGTGGTCCTTGTATTACCATTGTGGTCCTTGTATTACCATTGTGGTCCTTGTATTACCATTGTGGTCCTTGTATTACCATTGTGGTCCTTATATTACCATTGTGGTCCTTGTATTACCATTGTGGTCCTTGTATTACCATTGTGGTCCTTGTATTACCATTGTGGTATTTGTATTCAAAGATTCGCCGGGAATCGAACCCGGACCATCACCGTGTGAAGCGAGAACTTTTGCCACCAGGTCACCTATATAATTAGGACCAACTAGTTTTTATTTACTAAGGAACTTTTGTTCCTAATTATTTCATAGCTCAGCTTTGTACTTAGCTGTTTTAACTCGAAATTTAAATAAGATATTACAGGTAGAGTAATGGAAATAAGTAACTTTGTCTGATCTTATTTTGGGTTATATTGGTGGGTTATTTACACTGTGATAATTGTAATTATGTGTACCTGTACCTAAATAAATGTACTTACTGACTTATTTACTTATTAACCTACAATAAACAACATAATAAGTGAAAATAAGCTTGAATCATAGCATATTGCGTGAGCCGTCAGTGGCCCTTATAAACCCAACAACAAGAAGTGTTCTGGTGTTTTGTCTTATATTTCCACCCGTCCCCAGGATTAAACCCGGATACTTCAGTTGTTAGGTGCTTCCAGGTGTTAATAACCTTTATTTCTAGTAGTACAAGTGATATAGAAATAGTTGACTTGTATAGAAAGTTCCTGAGGCAACTTAGGTTAATTTTGTCCCCCAGGATGCCACCCTTATCAGTCACCTAACACCCAGGTACCTACTTACTGCTAGGTGAACAGTGACAGCAGGTTTAAAGGGGACTAACACTCAGGTACCTACTTACTGCAGGTGAACAGTGACACAGGGGTAAGGGGACTAACACCAGGTACCTACTTACTGCTAGGTGAACAGTGACAGCAGGTGTAAGGTGACTAACACTCAGGTACCTACTTACTGCTAGGTGAACAGTGACAGCAGGTGTAAGGTGACTAACACCAGGTACCTACTTACTGCTAGGTGAACAGTGACAGCAGGTGTAAGGTGGCTAACACCCAGGTACCTACTTACTGCTAGGTGAACAGTGACAGCAGGTGTAAGGTGGCTAACACTCAGGTACCTACTTACTGCTAGGTGAACATGACAGCAGGTGTAAGGTAACTAACACCCAGGTACCTACTTACAGCTAGGTGTGGGTGGCGTCCTGGGTACAAGATTGAAGGACCACAATGGAAATAATTTTGAAATATTGTAAACTGAGATATTATATTATTATTATATGTAATACTGTAATAGTGTATAATAATAATAATAATAATAATAATAATAATAATAATAATAATAATGTTAATGTTAATGCTTTATGCATCTAAAGTTAGTATTTTTTAACTGATAAGTACAGTACAGTATAATTCCCACAGCATGTTGAGTGAGGTGCGTCTGGCAGCGAGACAGTCCGTCGATGCAGATGTTTCAGCCGGTGAAGAAGAAGAAAGCTGCCAGGCGGAGAATACTCAAGGATCCGCACGTTGGTCTTAATTATCCACAAGAAAATGTAAATGAATGTGTCGAGTAAGTTGGTTTTAATTTTCTCGAGTAATTTGTTTTTAATTTCCCGTAAGACAGTGTAATGAATGTCTCGAGTAAGTTGGTTTTAATTTTCCATAAGAAAATGTAAATGAATATATTGTGTAAGTTGATCTTAATTATTATTATTTTTTTTTTTTTATTATCACACCGGCCGATTCCCACCAAGGCAGGGTGGCCCGAAAAAGAAAAACTTTCACCATCATTGATCTTAATTATCCACAAGAAAATGTAAATGAATGTTCGAGTAAGTCCTCTTAGGAAAATTTTAATTTTTTTTTATTATTTTTGCTGTATATTAAAGAAAGCCATATGTAGTTAAATAATTCTTTAAGTGTCCATTTGAATATAAGTTATATTAACTTTATAGTTTAAATTTTTTATATGCCTATTTAAATTTTTTTACCATTTCAAAATATTTGTATGCAAAGCCTAAATAAAAGCTTATAACATTTCACTAAAATTATGTGCATTGATTTTTTAATATACACACACCTATAGTGATTTTTATACAGTGGTCCCTCGTTTTTCGTAGTTAATCCGTTCCTGGAGTTGCTACTATTAACGAAATCTACGATTTGCGAATCAATTTTCCCCATAAGAAATAATGTAAATACAATTAATCCGTTCCTGACACCCAGAAGTATTAAAACAAAAAAATTTTTTACATGAAATATACATGTAGTACATAAACAATACAATGGGAAATGATGAATGAAACATTAACAGCATAACACTTACCTTTATTGGAGATTCTTCTTAGTGTATGGAAGACTGGAGGAGGAGAGAGAGTGGATTGTTTATAGTTTGGAAGGGGAATCCCCTTCCAGCAACACCTCAGGTACCAAGTGCTTTTCTGAGGTTGCTTCTCTTCTCTGTTTCTTAATGCCACTAGGACCACCTTGAGAGTCACTGGAGTCCTGTCTCGCAAAGTAACTGTCCAGAGAGCTCTGTTTCTGACGTCTCTTTAAAACTTCCCTAAAATGGGCCAAGACTTTGTCACTGTACATGTTGCCAACATGGCTTGCAACAACCTTGTTAGGGTGATGTTTCTCCATAAAGCTTTCCATCTTACCCCACATAGTAAAAATCTCTTTAATTTCTGAAGAAGGCACCTTCTTCCATCTCTCTTCCTCCTCCTCTGCAGCAAGATTCTGAGCTGTGATGTGTTGCTCTTCCTGCTGAAGCTCTTGCAGCTCCTCAGTGGTGAGCTCTTCATTGTGGTTTTCCACCAATTCTTCCACATCCTCCAAAACTCACATCCAACCCCATGGAACTCCCCAGTGCCACAATTGATTTTACAACAGACATAGGCTCATCAGGGTCAGTCCCAAACCCTTCAAAATCCCTCTTGTCGACACAGTCTGGCCACAATTTTCTCCAGGCAGAGTTCAAAGTCCTGGTAGTCACTTCCTCCCAAGCCATACCTATAAGGGTTATGCAGTGGAGGATGCTGAAGTGTTCTCTCCAAAATCCCTTAGGGTCAAGTGAGTGTCTGTGGTCACAGTCAAGCACCTGTGAAACATTGCTTTGGTATAGAGTTTTTTAAAGTTTGCAATAACCTGCTGGTCCATGGGTTGGAGGAGAGGAGTGGTATTTGGGGGCAAGAACTTTACTGTGATTAACCCAAACTCCTTGAAAATTAGGTCATCCAAGTTTGGAGGATGAGCAGGTGCATTGTCCATTACTAGCAGGCACTTGAGATCCAATTTCTTTTCCAGGAGATACTCCTTCACACTAGGGCCAAACACTTCATTGAACCACTCTACAAAAATTTCCCTCGTGACCCATGCCTTACTATTAGATTTCCAAAACACACACAATTTACTCTTCATAACATTGTTTTTCCTGAACACTCTGGGATTTTCAGAATGGTACACTAGTAATGGCTTCACTTTGAAATCCCCACTAGCATTAGCACAGAACATTAGCGTCAGCCTGTCTTTCATAGGCTTGTGTCCTGGCATTGCCTTTTCCTCTTGTGTAATGAAGGTCCTCTTTGGCATTTTCTTCCAAAAGAGGCCTGTTTCGTCACAATTGAACACTTGTTCAGGTTTCAGTCCTTCAGCCTCTATGTACTCCTGGAATTCATGCACATATTTTTCAGATGTCCTGTCTAAGGGCAGTGTGTGGTGTAAATATTATGCAGAAAATTCGGAGTGTGGAAATTAGGAGAAAGTGTGGAGTTAATAAAAGCATTAGTCAGGGCAGAAGAGGGGTTGTTGAGGTGGTTTGGTCATTTAGAGAGAATGGATCAAAGTAGAATGACATGGAAAGCATATAAATCTATAGGGGAAGGAAAGAGGGGTAGGGGTCGTCCTCGAAAGGGTTGGAAGAGGGGGTAAAGGAGGTTTTGTGGGCGAGGGCTTGGACTTCCAGCAAGCGTGCATGAGCATGTTAGATAGGAGTGAATGGAGACGAATGATACTTGGGACCTGACGATCTGTTGGAGTGTGAGCAGGGTAATATTTAGTGAAGGGATTCAGGGAAACCGGTTATTTTCCCATATAGTCGGACTTGAGTCCTGGAAAGGGAAGTACAATCCCTTTCACTTTAAAGGAGGGGTTGGGATATTGGCAGTTGGGGGGATATGTTGTGTATCTTATAGTATATGCTTCTAAGCTGTTGTATTCTGAGCACCTCTGGCAAAAGCAGTGATAATGTGTGAGTGTGGTGAAAGTGTTGAATGATGATGAAAGTATTTTCTTTTTGGGGTATTTTCTTTCTTTTTTGGGTCCCCCTGCCTCGGTGGGAGTCGACCGACTTGGAAAAAAAAAAAAAAAAAAAATTCAGCCGCCTTGTGGTCCCAAAACGGGCAGCCTCACCATGCCTTACCACACGTGTATGCCAGTAGGGTTCTTAATCCTAAAACCCAACCTTTGCTGGCCTTAAATTCACTCACATCACCACTATTTTCAGGCAATTTCTTTACCTAATTCGTTGTGGCAACTGCCTAGCCTTTTCACAAATAATCGAAGTCTTAAGATATCCCCTTTGCTAATTGTTTCTCATTTATCCACACCAATAATAACTTCTCAACCTCTGGAGTACTGGTGATCTCATTTTTGTCAGCATAGTTACCCCCTTTGCAACAACAGCTCCTTGATTTGCTTTTTCTTGGCCACTATGGAACATATGGTTGTGTAGGGTTTCTTATACATCCTGGCCAGTTCGGCCGCACTTGTACCACTTTCATATTGTTCAATGATGTTTTTCTTAAATTCAGTCGTATTTCTCCCCTTCTTTACGACAGGCTTGGCACTAGGAGCTTTCTTTGGAGCCATGGTAGCTTATTTAGTACTTGCAAGCACTAAAATAAATGGAATATTATGAAATATTTCGCTGGAGCACGTGAGGGGACCTTCGCTCACTGGTAAACAATGCCAGACTGGCTGCCGCCCCGGCTCACGCCGTGGGTACGCGTCCCGGACGAGCTACGACTCGCGAGTCAACCTATGAAAAGCAAGCCCATGTTTATACGAAAATATCCCTATGATTTCCGAAATCTATGATTGCCGAGAACTACGAAAAGCGAGGAACCACTGTATTAGTTATTTTTTATATATATTAATACTTTATATGCCGTATTGTTATATGCTACAGTAATCACCTTAATTTGTTTTTCTAGGAGTATTTTTAGAGCAAAAAATGTCCTTCAATCGAGTGATGGATTTATTGCTCTGAAAAATAACTTGCACAATGTATCTACACTACTACAAACTATAGATGGAGAAGAGTGTGAGATTACCTCGCTGGTTTGCTATGGGCTGGGTTCGCCGTCTAGCAACCGCAGTGCAAGATATCAAACAGCTCTGTTACTCACCCTAAGAGACCATTACAACGTTGACACTGACATTTACGACCCACTGTTTACAAGTGTAGATATCGCAGCACTCGAAGAACTTAAATTCCACATTCTAGAGAATAACGAAGAGGGTAAGAGGAATGTGCAAAGAGGAACTGTGTTCTTCATGCCACATTGTGGAAAAGAATTGTATAATAATCTACTCTGGGCAAATTGGAGTCCAGTATCACTACCATTATGCATCATTATAGGTAATAGTTTCAGCACTATTGTACAGAATATTCCATCAAGAATACTGAAAGAACATTATGAATTTATATATCTTGCCAAAGGCTTGTTTAAAGAATATCCTCTGGAAACATTAGTAGAATATAATGACATATTTAATGATATGAGTATTCATGTTATTTCTCGTGACAGACTAGATCAAGAGGAAAGTGGCTTTTGGTGTGAAAAATGTGAACCAAAATATGAAAATTGTGATGTAGAGATTGTCAGAGCAAAAGCTAATGTGGTGACTACGAAAGTTCTCTGAAATGATAGTGTAATACATATGTATAGAGATACAGTACTGTGGATGTAATACATACGTATATATATTTTAGAAATAATTTTTTCTTGAAAGCAATTAACCGGTAGGGGTCATGTAAAACATATACATATGTATACATATTAGAAATACTTATTTTTTCTTCGAAGCAGTTAACTGGTACAGGTTACATAGCACCTGGGAAATGGAAGGTAGTCTGGTTTGATCTGAGGAAGGGGCAGATTACTCCAGTTTCTTGGATCAAGAGTCTTTGTCAGCATCGAGACACCCTCTTCAGGGAATAGATACTTTAATAAGATCACATCAGGTGCCAATAAAAATGTATTTAGGAAAGCTGTGGATATATATGCTTATTTTTACCAGCTTTATTTACACAGATTCAGCTAATTGTAACAAAGGTTTTTTCAGATTAGAGAATATGAGAGAGTGCCATCCCTGGCTCACGTGTGAAGATTTGATTGGTCTTGACGTGAGGGATCTGATTGGTTACGGGGCCGTCAAACAGGTGTACAAGTCAACATGGCAGAATATTACAATAGCGTTTGTGCATGTTAATAATAGAGAGTATCTGAGGGATTTTTGGCATGGATTTGAAATGTTAAAGGGATTAGGACCAAGCCAATTCCTGGTTCAATTAATTGGTTTTTGTATGAAAAATGATGCATACATGACCGAATATCATCCTTATGGCAATAGTATCAATGTTAATACAATACTTGATGGTATGTTTGATTTAAAAAAGAGATTTGAGCTGTGTGTTGATTATGTAAAAATTCTTGATTTTTTGCATAATAGTCCTATAGGAACGAGAGTCATGTGTGACTCAAGTACTTTAAACAAGACACTTGAACAGTATTTAATAAGTTCGTCGTTGAATCTTATTTTGAACGATGTCGATGCCCTGCCAGAAGTTGGGCCCCGAGGCATTATCTGTGGCCACAAGGAACTCCAGGTAGTTTTGTAGCTCCAGAGCAGAGGGTGGCCCTTTACACCACAAGGCTTACGACCAAATGAGAATGACGCCATACAATGAGAAAGTCGATGTGTGGAAAATTCCTCTGTTTGTAACTACTATTTAGGGAACAGTGAAGCTGCGAAGGTTTTCAGATACCATGTATATCCATCCATAAACAATGCAAACAAAAATACCCAACAAATCGACCTACTGCGGCTGATGTGCTAAAATTTTATGAAAATTTACACCATGAATATTTTGAAGATGAATTTACAAAAATGAAAGAAGAACTTTAATAAAAAATTATGCTAAATATATCAAACAGTTTTCTACTGTAGACTAATGCTTTGTTATTGAATTATATAAAATATAAAATTTTAATTTTTAATGTCCTTAAATGTGTTACAATGTATAAAGTACTTCCATTTTTACCTACTGCACTGTACTTAGCTGACTGTAACCAAATATGAAGATCAAATAAATTTTAATTGCTGTATTGATGTTTTTAGTTAGACCTACAAATTTTAGTAGACTTGAAGTACAGGAGGGCCTCACTTCTACAGCAAGTTAGGTTCCGGGCTACTGTAGGGTCCTGCTTATACAGCAGGTTAGGTTCCGGGCTACTGTAGGGTCCTGCTTATACAGCAGGGAGTTTATGGTTTTCTGGCTGCTGTAGGGTCCTGCTTATACAGCAGGTTAGGTTCTGGGCTACTGTAGGGTCCTGCTTATACAACAGGTTAGGCTCTGGGCTGCTGTAGGATCCCACTTATACAGCAGGTTAAGTTCTAGGCTACTGTAGGGTCCCAGTTATACAGCAAGTTAGGTTTTGGGCTACTGTAGGGTCCTACTTATACAGTAGGTTAGGTTCCGGGCTACTTTTGGGTCCCGCTTATACAGCGCATTAGCTTCCGGGTTACTGTAGGGTCCCACTTAAACAGTAGGTTAGGTTTCAGGCTACTGTAGGGTCCTTCTTATACAGGAAGTTAGATGACAATGACAGCAGGTGTAAGATGACTGAAACCCAGGTACCTACTTATTGCTAGGTAAACAGTGGTAGCAGGTGTCTTAAGGAAACGCATCCTGTTTTCACTCGTACTGGGGATCAAACCATGGACCTCAGTGTGAGGTAAGTGCGCTACCAACCCAGCGACGGAACAACAATCTTTTAGCCAAAATTAGTAAGCAATGAAGCTTACAGAACTTAATAGGGTAGTGATGTGGTCAGGTACCATACCTCACCCTCAAGGGATAGTAACATTCCTGCCCTTCATAAGTCTGCCTGTGATACTCCAATATAGAAACTATGTATTGTACCGAAACAAAAGCATTCACATTGCTAAACTCGCAAATTATGATTTAGTCAGCCATAACACCAACTTACTCCATAATTTGTAATAATTTAGAGTTAAGAATTAATCTAAGTTTGCCCGAAATGCCTAGCCTAGTGGTCCCCTCTGTAATTAGTATTTATAACATTTAAACCACATAATATCCAAAATCTGTAAACCCCGCATTGTAATCCTTATAGAGAATAAACTTGATTGACTGACTGATTGATTCATAGGATAGTATCATACCTTCCAGGGATAGTATTATACTTCACCTTCAAGGCTAGTATCATACTTCACCTTCAAGGCCCCTCAGGGAAGGTTCCTTGATGTTGGTGAGGGGCTCTTGATTTAGGGAATTGGATCTGTGGTCCAGTTCCCCGAATTAAGCCTGAATGCCTTCCACATCCCCCCCAGGCGCTGTATAATCCTACGGGTTTAGTGCTTCCCCTTGATTATAAGAATAATAATTCACCTTCAAGGATGGTATCATACCTCACCTTGAAGGACAGTATCATACCTCACTTTCAAGGATAGTATCATACCTCACCTTCAAGGATAGTATCATACCTCACTTTCAAGGATAGTATCATACCTCACCTTCAAGGATAGTATCATACCTCACTTTCAAGGATAGTATCATACCTCACCTTGAAGGATAGTATCATACCTCACCTTCAAGGGATAGTATCATACCTCACCTTGAAGGATAGTATCATACCTCACCTTCAAGGGATAGTATCATACCTTGAAGGATAGTATCATACCTCACCTTGAAGGGATAGTATCATACCTCACCTTGAAGGATTGTATCATACCTCACCTACAAGGATAGTATCATCCTCACCTTGAAGGAAAAGTATCATACTCACCTTAAGGATAGTATCATACCTCACCTCAAGGGATAGTATCATACCTCACCTTGAGGACAGTATCATATCTCACCTTGAAGGATAGTATCATACCTCACATATAAGGATAGTATCATACCTCACCTTCAAGGGATAGTATCATATCTCACCTTGTAGGATAGTATCATACCTCACCTTGAAGGATAGTATCATACCTCACCTTGAAGGATAGTATCATACCTCACCTTCAAGGAAGTATCATACCTCACCTTCAAGGATAGTATCGTACCTCACCTACAAGGATAGTATCATACCTCACCTCAAGATAGTATCATACCTCACCTTCAAGGATAGTATCAGTACCTCACCTATAAGGATAGTATCATACCTCACCTCAAGGATAGTATCATACCTCACCTTCAAGGATAGTATCATACCTCACCTTCAAGGATAGTATCATACTCACCTTAAGGATAGTATCATACCTCACTTAAAGGATAGTATCATACCTCACCTTCAAGGGATAGTATCATACCTCACCTTGATGGATAGTATCATACCTCACCTTCAAGGATAGTATCATACCTCACCTTCAATGGATAGTATCATACCTCACCTACAAGGATAGTATCATACCTCACATATAAGGATAGTATCATACCTCACCTTCAAGGGATAGTATCATATCTCACCTTGAAGGATAGTATCATACCTCACCTACAAGGATAGTATCATACCTCACCTTCAAGGATAGTATCATACCTCACCTTCAAGGATAGTATCATATCTCACCTTGAAGGATAGTATCATACCTCACCTTCAAGGGATAGTATCATACCTCACCTTCAAGGATAGTATCATACCTCACCTTCAAGGATAGTATCATACCTCACCTACAAGGATAGTATCATACCTCACCTTCAAGGATAGTATCATACCTCACCTTCAAGGATAGTATCATATCTCTCAACAACCTCACCTCAAGGATAGTATCATACCTCACCTTCAAGGATAGTATCATACCTCACCTTCAAGGATAGTTATCATACCTCACCTACAAGGATAGTATCATACCTCACCTACAAGGATAGTATCATACCTCACCTTCAAGGATAGTATCATACCTCACCTTCAAGGATAGTATCATACCTCACCTACAAGGATAGTAAACATACCTCACCTTCAAGGATAGTATCATACCTCACCTTCAAGGATAGTATCATACCTCACCTTCAAGGATAGTATCATACCTCACCATCAAGGATAGTATCATACCTCACCTACAAGGATAGTATCATACCTCACCTTCAAGGATAGTATCATACCTCACCTTCAAGGATAGTATCATACCTCACCTTCAAGGATAGTATCATACCTCACCTATCAAGGATAGTATCATACCTCACCTTTCAAGGATAGTATCATACCTCACCTTCAAGGATAGTATCATACCTCACCTTCAAGGATAGTATCATACCTCACCTTCAAGGATAGTATCATACCTCACCTTCAAGGATAGTATCATACCTCACCTACAAGGATAGTATCATACCTCACCTTCAAGGATAGTATCATACCTCACCTTCAAGGATAGTATCATACCTCACCTTCAAGGATAGTATCATACCTCCCTTCAAGGATAGTATCATACCTCACCTCAAGGATAGTATCATACTACCTCACAAGGTAGTATCCTACCTCACCTTCAAGGATAGTATCATACCTCACCTTCAAGGATAGATCATCCTCACCTCAAGGATAGTACATACCCTCACCTTCAGGATAGTATCATACTCTCACTCTTCAAGGATATATCATACCTCACCTTCAAGATAGTATCATACCTCACTTCCGTAGTATCTACCTCACCTGCAGGATAGTATCACAACTCACCCATCAAGGATAGTATCATCTCACCTTCAAGGATATAAATACCTCACCTTAATGCTCCGAGGATAGTACATACCTCACCTTCAACAATACTATCATACCCCCTGGTGTAATAACCTTACCCTCAGATGTATCATACCTCACCTTCAATAGTATCTACCTCACCTTCAAGATAGCTTACATAACCTCACCTTAAAAATCCAACCTTAATACCAAGGATAGTAATATACTCACCTTCAAGGTAAACAACCTCACCTTAATGACCCTCCTAGGTAGTATCATATACAGATTACAACCCCCCAAATATACAACCTACCATTAATATACTCCTCCGTGTCAAGATAGTATCATACTCACCTCAAGGAATATAACCCACCACAGATTAATGACCCCTACGGTAGTATATACCCTTTCAAGATACATCATAAACCACCTCAAGATTATCAACTCTCTTACAAGATAGGATCAGTACCACCCAAGGTTGTATCATACCTACCTAGATAGTACAACCTCACCTCAAGGAAGTATCATACCTCACCTTCAAGGTAGTACATATCCACCTCACGGTTTAATAACCTCACCTTCAAGGGATAGACAACGTCCTTCCAGGATGTATGATACTCCTAGAAAGAACATACTCCACTTCAAGTTGTATCACCTCACCTTAAGGATAGTATATCTCACTCAGGATAGTATCAACCATCACCGTTCAAGGATTCACACCGTGGCACGGGAGGCTGTGTACAAATCCTCTAACTCTGAGCTCCCGGCTCTTTACCCCTACCCGTAGGGGCCCCGGGCCCCGTCCAGAGGGTCCTTGGCTCCTGAGAGGTGACCACACCCCTCCTCTTCACCACCAATCCCTTTTCCTCTTCTCTCTCTTCTCTCCCTCTCATCTGCCCCCTTCTCACCTCTTACCCTGCAGGATGGACCAAAACAGTCAATATCACCCAGTATTTATTTCTGCAGTGAAATAGGTGACCTCAGCCTTAATGACCCCGTGTAGTAGATAGACTTTAACCCCATTAACCAACCAATCCTTAATGAACCCTCGGTGGTAGATAGACTTTAAACCCATTAACCAACCAACCATAAGTGAAAAAACCTCACTCGTGTAGTAGATAGACTTTAAACCACATTAACCAACCAACCTTAATGACCCTCGTGTAGTAGATAGATTTTAAACCCCATTAACCAACCTACCTTAATGACCCTCGTGTAGTAGATAGACTTTAAACCCCATTAACCAACCAATCTAAATGACTCTCGTGTAGTAGATAGACTTTAAACCACATTAACCAACCAACCTTAATGACCCTCGTGTAGTAGATAGACTTCAAACCCCATTAACCAACCAAAAACGAAGTAATTTCAACTCTGGTTAGAAGCAAGGAGGAGCAGTCAGACCTGTGTGTGTGTACTCACCT